TATTTTATTCCAAATAGCAGCAAAGACAATGACAGAGACTCAGCTCCTTGCTGACAGCAAGCCTTAGATGACTAAGAACTTGAGGATGAAAAGGTGCAATTTCTTTGGCAGCTCCCATTCTCAGGACATTTTTCTAAACTGGTCACTCAGTGTAACTCAGAATGACATTTTCTTAATTGGGTCCTCAAATAAATGTCAAAACCATCCATGCTTTTCAGGTTGTGGGTATTCTGTTTTTAGGACGGCTTATTTTCATAACAAGCACAATAATTCCGTATGGGAAAGTATCATACCCTAATATTAAACCAACATTATACTTTATTAACTGTTTTACTGGCATCTAAATGAATCTCAGTTTTGGCCTCTATTTTAGACTCAGGCCTAACGTTGCACCTGCAAAAGACAGCAGTACATGCGGATGCAAGTTTTTCAATTAACAAATCACAGATTTATGTGATCAAATATTTGCATTCTTCTTTAGATCTAGGTGCAACTGAGTGAAAATTTTGAATTTCTGAAATCATAGCAGGTTGCAATCAATTGGAAAGTTGACACTACTAATGCTACAGAAAAAAATAAAAGCTCACACATCTGTAACATTTAAGTTAGCTTTAATAGTATTTTTTTCACTTAGCAAATTAATGCACCTGTTAACTACAGGTGCAGTTAGGGGCAGACAAAGGAACAGGCATGAAACATGTAAATTATGTTAATTTCAAATTATTTTACCTCAGTGCACTGAAATCATTAACTCAGGAGACCAGATTCTGCAAATGCTTTGCAGCCATTCAGAAACACCAAATTCCTCTTTACAGCTTCAAACCCATTTTCTGTTCTAGGAAGCAAATGTGAGGCTTATAGTTATTGGACAGTCATCTTATCATCACATCAAGGTAAATAAAGTAGTCATTAAATACATTGTACCCTCTATTGTGTCTTAGTAGTCTGCATTGAGAGATACCTCTCTCTCAATTACCATTGAAAAGATGGTAATTTGCAACCACAGGAAAAAAGGACAGTATTCTTTTCCGTAAAGCAATTCCAATAGAAATACATGAATAAAGAAAACAGCTAAAATTTTCAGTTTAAAAACCACTGGGGCTTATTACAGAAGCATCTTTTCTTAATTTTGCTGGAAGCTTTGTTCTAGAGAAATCTTTGGGGCTAACATTTTTTGCCTTTAAGTTGACATGACAAATCCACAGGTTTCCATGCTGGGTGGCTGCATGCCAGGGTGTCAGTATTTTTTTCTAGTAGATCCTAATTAGTTATTGTCTTAACCTTAAAAATTTTACTTTTGTTTTGATATGCATTTCTTCTGCAGCCCTTTTGCAGTTTAACTGGTTACACGCATGAAATGTATGTAGATCCACAAAGGGAAATTTATAAAAAGCTTGGCATGAGAAGAGGTGAAGGTAGTAATGGACCAGGTAAGAGTTATTTTCTCACCTTGTTAGGACTTACTTACGCAGAACAGAACAAGTATGATCTGCTAAAATATTATAATCACAACGTACATAGGGAGTTGCCCACCAGACCATCTCTTGTAGGCTATATTTTGTCAAAACACTTGTAATCAGCTGTTCGATTTTGTTGTTCTCCTTCTATACTTTTGAATTCTACTGAAGTATTTTTCCATTTTGTTTAGTGCGGAGCCTTCATGTAAAATCAAACACACTCCTGGGAAGCATTAGGAGTATGTGGAGGGCAATGACTGGCCCAGCTTTTGATTTTCAAGGAGACCCCTCTCAGCAGGGAGGAGCTTTGATTTTAGGCCCAGGTGAGTTCCTTTGTTTTGTGTGAAAGTTATAGTATCCTCCTGATGCTGTTTGCTTTAATGCCACCACTTCTGCTGTCCCTGTGGATCCCAAGGATACAGTCTTGTGTTGAACCGTGTGATTTTACTGGCTGATGAAGGAACCTGTGCAAGTCTTGTTATCCCACGTCCCACAGAGGTGGCACAAAGCCAATCACAGTCCTGCAGAAATCAGTAGGATTGCTGATGGAACAACTGCCTCAGAGTTTGGAGGGGGTTTCTGATACTGTGGTGTTCACCTATATCACGTTTTCCCATTTGATTCTAAGCATGTAATGCAGCTTTAGTAGAGACATAATGCATAAAATGGGGAGAGTTGCAACATATCAAAGGCATATCAAATAATTAAGAAACATCATGCTACAGCAGATTTAATTAATTTAGGTACCTCAATGTTCCTTGCTTCTATAAATTATATTTTTTTAATCTATGTAATTGTTTAAAATACAGAATGTTGTGCGATCTATGAATCTAGTACATATTTGTACAAGAGGTAGCAGGAAATCAGAATGCTTCTTTGATTCACTTGAATAAATTAAGTATTTTCTTGAACTGTCTTTGAATAAAGAAGTATTTTATTGAACCATTTAAATGTTTATTCTCATTCCATTCCAGGTAATGAAGTTCATTTTTTGCACCTTGATAAAAACAGGCTGGATCATGTTCCCATCAACACAGTTTTGCAGCTGGCAGGAGTTAAAACAGTAAATTTCACAAACAAGCCTCAGATTATTGACATATGAGTGCTGACACTTTATATACCTTGAAAAATCACAGCTTCAAGCACTGGACTTAAGCTTATGCCTACTTTTGAATCCAGCACTGGCTGATAGTATGAAATACATTTTATAGTTATAAATAAATACATTAAAAATGTCTGCTATATTTTAAAATTGTCTGCAATTATTTTGCATCATGTGAAAAGGTGTCTCTGTAATCTGGGGAGGGGTGTGTCAGATGAGATTGTCAGTTTTGGAGTAGGCCATTGTTGCTTGTTTTCCTATGAAGATTTGCAGCAAAATATGTGTACTTTCTCTCAGAGCAAGGAGTCTCTGAAAAAACTGAGCTAAGGACAACAGCATTTTGGTTTGCAGTTCTGGCAGATTTCGTATTACCCAGTTTTCTGGAAATGTTCATGTTCAGAATCTATTGCATTCACTAAAGCAGGTACGCCTTCTTTCATCCCCGAGCCGCTTCTTTTTGCAAATTTAAAACAAGATTGTCTAAGGTTTATGAAGGACTGTGCTATGGTCTGCAGTTTCTATCTCTGGCCTTCAGTGCAAAATGACACTATTAATAAGTATTTTACCTGCAACTTCTCTCTCCTTTTAAACCATAACACTAACGCAACTGTAAAACAGCATTCTGTGAAGAGGTTTGTCCCTGCACCATTAGGGTCAGTGACAGGCACAGAGCAAGCTCTGGAGAGCTCTATACCATTAAGACCATGTGAAATTAGATGCCGTGTTCCTTGATAAAAAATAAAAGGCTTGTTTAAGAAACATAATGATACTGAGCAATGTAATTCCATTAAAGGTACTATGCCTTAGCACCTTATTAATTACATACACATTTTGATATGGTGTGTTTAGAAGGATATTATTAACATAAAAATGCTGTGTTCAATTCTTGGCTTCGACTAAACAACACTCAGCACAGGGCTAAAGTGTTTAAGTGCAGATGAACCCTCACGATTTTAGGGCTAGGCAGAGGCTTCCACAGAACTTGGTGTAACACACTTAGAACAGCAGCTAGGTCTCCAAGGGAGTAAAGTGCTTTTCATGACCACTGTCCCTGTATTCATAAATAAGGAGCTGCCCCCCCCTACAGAGTTCCCCCAGCTCACCAATGTTTTTTAGTATGTCGTAAACTCTGGAATGCAGAGTTTACTTAAACCACAGTAGAAAGCAAGCTAGAAAAGTGGTCTTAGAAAACTGGCCTTGTGTTTCTAAAACAAATACAAAAAATGCAGTGATAGTATTTTTCAGAGAGAAAGAATCCTATATACTCAGTTTTTTTGTAGTACTTCAACCTGCTTCATTCACCTCATCATCACTCCCAACAACACTGGCTCTAGTTTCACTTTTTGTTGGCAATCATTGCACTTTCATGTTATTGCTGGTTCTGATTTTAAAGAAAGTGTTTGGCTAGCTGTTTTTCTGCTTGTTTTGCTTTCAGTATAATTAAAACCACACAACAGGAATAGTTCTATTGCTGTATTTTAAATACATTAAATAAAACTAATCATAGCTAAAAGAACTGTGGATTCTTACAAGGGATTGGAATGAATTAAGTTGTATAGTTTGACAGCTCTGTAGGAAGTCTTCCACCCTCACCATGTCAATACTGACAGGGACCATAACACAGCTTCTCTGTTATTCCAGCAAAACCACTTCTTCAGAAAGACTTGCAAAATGCCGGGGGGGGAAGAAAAAAAAGGGAGAGAGAAAAAAAAAAAAAAGACAAATAGGAGGATTCAGTCCAAGAACCGCCAAACCATCCTAATTAGGGCATCAACCCTACATTCGTTGCATGTAGATCAACTGCAACATCTGACCACTGCTTCAGTAAGTTTGCTGCCTCCCTGAGAGATAGGAATTCCCACATGCGTAACAACTTGGAGCAAGGATGGCCACAGTCGTCTACAGGAGAAATGGTATTTAAAGTGTCAGTAGGATTTTAGGTCTCTGGTGTTGTTAAAGTATTTTTAAGATATTAGGCAGTGAAAGGTGGAAATCAGTGGGAGATAATCACTGACCTCATATTCAGCTCATGGAATACTTCATCAAGGGCTTTTGTCATAGCCAGTTAGACAGAGGTGGGGAGGGAGTGATTGTCACGAGTTGTTTTAACCACTATTGGCTTTACGTATTTCAACACCCACTTAAACAACGATGTGCATTGCTGTGCATGAGCGGCAGACTCAACCTAGCCATTTTAGCTTCCCAGATAAGTCCATTTAATGCTCGTACTGGATCTGTTTCAATTGGTCTTACTCAACGTCACGTCCCCCAGGGACCGTCTTTTGGTATGTGACCCGAGAGGCACCTGGAAGACCGCGACGCCTCCAACAACGCAGCGGAAAACGCTCATTCCCAAATGCGGCGACTTTACGCCCGCGCAACTGCTGCCGGCCCTTCTCTGGGACGGGACCCTGGCACCCCAAAGGAGCTGCGTTCCGGCCATGCCGTCACCACCCTCCGCCCCCGCGGGGAGAAGCGCAGCGCCACGTCAGCAGCGCCCCCCGCGGCGGGGCAGGCAGCGCCGAGGTACCGAGGGCCCCGCCCGCCCGAAGCGGCGGCGACGAGCAGGCCCCTCCC